TGAGGACCATTGGTTACATCTGCCATCTTTTTTACCTCACGGAATTTTGCATGTCATTTCACAAAACAGATGTATTTCCGTGTATGCAATACTGTTCAGTGGTCCAGTCTAATCTTCGGAAATCTGACTCGCATGCTCTGAGAGGGTCCAGAGATTTTCCACGAAAAGCTATGTGGATATTCCTTAAAGTTGACATACACAGAGCGATGTGGTAAACTTGGATTTGACCTAGTTTGGCTTCGGAGAATGAAGCTGAACCTATGTTTCTTTACAGAATCATAAGCTGTCAAATTCGCAGTCTTGAAAACGGCGTTTACATATCTTTAAACAGCAGATGTCCAATCCGTAACAAAGAGCTAAAGATCATCACCCCAAAATTTACTACAAGAATCAGAGAACGTTTCTTTCTAACCCACCATTTTAAGCTTTGGAACAAACTTCAAAGTGATATCAGAATATGCTATACACTTTGCAAGTGTAAGCTTGCGATTAGTAGGCAGTTAACCGTCCAAAACGTGATTATTATGTTCGGAACATCACAGTCCCTAGATAACGCATTCGAAAACGGTATCGATGGTGCCTGCATAAATTTTCGAAACACATACACATAACATTCCCGACAACAGCCCCTTCCATTTCATTTCCTTTTTTCTTGGTCCGAACATCTGTCATGTGGTTGTGAAGAATGCGGGCTCAATGACAGGAAAAATGGCAGCACGATTCTGATTAGTTTGTGTTACCTAATTTGAAATTGCGCCCATGTTCATTACTGAAAAAGTATTAATGCAATGTCGTGGAAAGGTTGTACGATTATTTGATCAGTTCCTTCTTGGGAACAGCTTATCGCATCGTCGAAGAATATGCAATGTATTTATTTATAAGGTCTCGCTATCACGAGGTCTCCTGCTACCTATTTCCCGTATTACATGGAATAACACGATGGTTACTAAGTGCAGTGACTGTTTCCATCTCAGACGCACGCTCCCACTTTAGGCTAGCACGCAGTATCGCCCTGAGATCTTTTTGAGTCTCGTTGTATTCTCTTCTAGCCGGAATTCTTCGGCAAGCGTCCAGAAGTTACAGCGACTGCATAAAAACCCAAGGTCCAGGTTAACAGTTTGATTTGCTACATGAAGACGCCTGTTGACAGTAACATCTGGTAAATTTGTAATCGGTTGTGTTCAGTGAACGCTTACTCAGCCCGATGCCAGCCTAATTTGGTACGCAATCAGAACACCTGCCTTCGCCAGTTTGCTGGTGTCTATGCTCTGCCAGCATTATTGTGCACTTCCGCCGAAACGCACCCGCAGATCGGCACGTACAATCGGTTAATCGGACTCCACGTTTGTGCTCTAAATCGAGCGACAGTTTTGTACACATCGTCTACAACGGTAATAGTTCGCGATGCGATCGATTTGCGTCTATAGCTGGTCCGAGGCTGGTGAGCGTCATTTCCCTCTTCTTTGGGTGCTCTATCGGATGTAGGGCTCGCGAGCAATAGACGAGCATCTTCACACAGGTGTTGCAACTGCTCACCGTTGTTCTTACGGGGGCCTTTACCGTGTTGGCCGCACAGATGCGGCTCATCAATGGACAATTTTCCATTTTGGGCGCTTAACTCGCCGGCAAGCACCACATTATTCATATCTTTTCTGTAACGAAAGAGCGCGTTCAGTTAGCACATCCGCGCTACAATTTGTGGGGACGTAGGCCTCAAAGAAAACTAGGCACCGTTTGCCTTTGAAGATTTGAGCTAGCCAGCCAAACTGATAGCGCACATGCGGCTGTTCATTGGTATCTGTAGAGCGAAACTCGGGTACTGGTTGCGACGAGAACCAATTATTCAAAAGTGCGAACGTAGCCGGACTCAACGTGTATTTTACGGAGCTGTAATGAACTAGAAGCAAATTAGCAAGAGCACAGAGAAAGGTAGTGTTCGAAAGTAAGCTCGATATACCGTCAGTAAAAGAATGGACGATCAGAAGATACATAAAAGAATAAAATCCAATGTCCTAAAATTCTGAAGGCGTAAGTGTCCCATGTTCACTACAGATCCAATCGATCAGGGCAGCTTCAGTCCTGGGGATCAAAACAATGCGCACATTAGCTTGAGGAGCATTCGAAGTTGAATCATTTCCGGAGAAGCGCAATGAGAAAGTGCCGCCAGTGTCGCATGTGGTGGATCGCAGTGTTATCTCAGAGCTGGGATCTTGCAGGTAAGCTTCTTATTAAGAACAGATCTCGGTCGATAGAGTTCCTCTTGTGCAAGCAACTGCTGCCTGCTGCTGAGGCATGCCAGCCTCAGCGAGAATCGAGGGCTTCAAATAGAAACAGTTGAACTGACGTCGTCCGGTTGGCTGGACATGGACTTATCGACTGGACCAGAGCGACATCCTGCGAATACAAACTTGGGGGGTAGAATGGGATGATGAGACTGAAAAAGCATATGAGGGGGAATAAAATGGAGAGAAGACCTGAGCAGTAGCATCGTTACCCCTATCCACCCTACTTGACTGAGTGCGGTTGATCGTCTGCGACGACCAGAGCAACAAGGAATGAGTAATATAAAATCAAAAAGCTTCTCCTAGTTTCAAATGCTATGGATTTAGCGTCTAGCGAGAGGACGTCATCATCTTGCAGGCTAACCACTGTCACTGACAGTGGTAGATAGGTAGTGCTATATCCCAGCTAGTTTGCAAATTATGTAGCCCAGCCAACGTCCCCCATGGCTCAGTGGCTTAAGCTGCTGGCTAGTTGGCATCTGCCTCTAGCGGTCATGGGTTCGATCCTCCTTAGAGGACCGAGGGAATGTACGCCACTGACGAGCCCCAATAGGGCGAAACGCTTCTGGCGCTTTTCCGGACTAGGCTCTGCTATGTAACTTTTGAACTGTTGGGATGAAAGCCTTATCAGGTTTACAACAAGGAATTGTTTGAAGAGAAATCCACTGTATTACATGAGCAGGTTACTCTCAAGCTGTCCGGGCTTAGACAGGAGCACACTCAGGGTTCTAAACCGAAACGTTTTGTTCAAAAACCAGACCGCAAGGCAGCGCGGTTTTGGCTACAGTGAGTTCATTTTATGGAGTAAGGAGCCAAGCTCACTCTAACCCCCAACCTGGAGGGCCAGGAGACTGAGCTTGTCAGGCTTCTAATCTTTGACCAAACTGGTATCAGTGACCCTGAAAGTGCAGTAGTACCATATAGCATAGCGCAATGCATCGTTGAGGAATGCAAAACATCGCACCACGTTAAGGTCCAGTCTCGTCGCTTATGGCACCAGTTAGCGTGCTGCAGCCAGGAGCTTCAAACGTCCTCCAGCGAAAAGGATTTGGTTGTTTTGACCCAGGGAGACCTTGGCTGTTTGGATCAGGCTAAAAATGCACCAAGTAATGGTAACTAGAAAGTGGGCGTGCTGCAGGTGCATTCGGATGATTCGACCCATCGATATTTCAGTCGCTTCTTGGATCATACAAACGTCTACACATAGAACACGCATGACTAAGGAGAGATCTCACCGCTTTGGAAATACCTCAATGTCGGACAACCAAGAATATCAATGGCTTGTGCCATTCGCCGTATGAACAATGTCTGAGAGTGTTCGGGGTCTTCAGTGGATAATACTGCCGATTGCATGGGACCTTATTTTGACTTGGCAGATTTTGTGAGATCCAAACCATACGTGCCACTATTTGTTGAAGATCAGTCACAACAGCAATCTGCGAAACCAACATCTCAAGCTGACAGAACAGTACAGCCGTCTGGAATGCCGTCGGAATTTCTGTTCCGTATGCGTTTCAAGCGCGAAATGCCGTCCCGGTATATGTTATTTGTGATCTCAAGCTGGTGGAGTTCAACGCCTGACTTGACCTTACACTCATTTCTCTACACCATCTCACCTGACTCATCGTCCAACGCCAAACACGCATGTTTGTTAGAAACTGGAAGTCTCCCAGAATACGTGATTTTTTTACCTCACGTATGTTTTCACCAGGAAATGAGATAATTTTTACAAAAGCCGCACCTGTAGTCATTCCTTATGGACCTACAGGGAATTTACAAGTCGTGAACTTACTTTTTAATATTTTGCAATATTTATCATAACCATCTTACGGGATCTATTAAAACTTAACTATCTAAAACCATTGTTCCATTGTAATTGTGGTGATGTGTAGTGGACAATCGTTCTGCTTTGGGCCTCCGTCCGTGATCGATGGGTCGGTGACTGTTGAAAGTGAAATTTTCGACTTATGCTCCGTGACTTTTACCAATTACCCCCTCCCCCGCAGATGAAGCGGTAACTCGAGTTGTTCTTCGCCTATCTTGGTTTGTACTTTCGACTCGCCGGAGATATTCATTTCTTAGTTGCTGGTACACGGGGTGGATGTCAACGTGCATTCTAACTGGACTATTAGTGGAGAACCATGCTTCGGAAAGTTGCTTTTTTGTGTCTCTACCTGAGCATACATCTCCGTTTCGTTCCAGTAGAAGCTATGTTTCTCTGTATCTAAAAAAACTTTGCCACTGGTGACTATTCGTAATGTTTTTCGTAGGTCCTTGAATGTTCTCGTATCCTGGTCGATAATTTCCTTCCTGTCTGTTCCCCATAGCTCTTTGCGCAATTTATTTTGTACACATTTGTTCTTGTGCTTCTCAGTTATCTATTGGGCTTGCCAGTGTTAATATCAAAGTGGTGATGGGTGATAAAGACGTTGAGCGCGTCAAGGTCATGCTTCACTACCTAGCCTGTGGAGCTGCATTGTGCGTGCTAGTGCGTGAGTGTCCATCTCCCGACTAACCAGCGATGCTTATTGGTTGGTTCAAAAGCGAGTGCTTAGCTAAAACATGTGAACTGCGTAAAACTAAACAGTTGATCTTGTACGCAGTGTAGACTGCCGATGTACTATTTCCATTGCTTCTACTAAACTTCCGTCTACAATACTGTTGTTCTGATTTCGGTTGAGTGTAACAATTTGGCGACAGAGGTTATTCTGATTGCTCATGGCAAATTCAATAACGGCACCCCAACCCTTTTGGAGTTCTTCTACTGAGAGGCCTACTGCGCAACAATGGTTGAGTTGCTTTTACTCCTTGGCGGAAATTGCACGATTGATGATACAGGGAAAATTAAATTACCGCGCCACCATCTCGGGCCAGCGACATTTCGACAGTTTACAAGTACTTACTAAGCTAGACCTAAAACCTGTGTTCTATTCCCTGGACCGAATATGGGGGGAAAAGCCCCATGTATTTACTCTTCGGTATAAATTCAGCGCCATGCGACAACAACCAAATGAGACTGTAAATGAGTTTATCTCTCGTCACCTTACTGCTCTCCCTGACTGCGCCTATGATCAGATCCTTCCAGCCCAGTTCGAAGAAGCGATGCTGTTACAGGCATTAATCGTGGGTGTTTTCGATGAGAAGGCACGAGAACGTCTGCTCTCCGAAGATGAAACGCTGCTGACGTGGGAGAAAGCATGTGATATAGTCCGACAGCGTGCCAACCTCGTCCATGAACTAGGCACATTTCCCTCTTCAAATCGATCAATCTCACATGACGTAAACAAGGTCTACCGGACTAACCGTGGACATGCCTTACCTCGCCCCGTACAGCACAAGGAATTCCGTTGTTACCGTTGCGGGGAGAATCACTTGTCCCCGACTGACTGTCTGCACATTCATTCATTATGCAGACTTTGTGGAAAAATGGGTCATATTCAGGAAGTGTGTCTATCCAAGCGTAAATCACTCGTCCAGGAACAATCTAAGGCTACAAACTGCATTACCGATGCATTGCACCAGAATTGGATTAACACCACAACCGTTTTTAATCGCACCATTACAGCAGAAAAACCGTTTGTCGTATCCGTCCAAGCAAACGAACAACCTGTAGAGTTTGAAATTGTTACCGGTTCCGCAGTAAATTTGATCCGACCAGACGCCTTATCCCAACTTCCAAGCTGTGTCCACCGAACATGCAGTTGCGATCTTACACGGGGCAGATGGTGAATGTGCTTAGTACCTTCAATGCATGCATTTCTTACCGTAATTCAAAAAGTCATATGTGTGTGTACGTTTCTGGAGGACTGGGTCCGAACATCCTGGGCCGCGGTGGAATGAAGCGCCTTCCTGGCATAATGTTGAACGTCAACCTGGTGAAAGACAATCCGCAGTTATCCGAGGTTTTGCAGAAGCATGCAGTCTTATTTTATCAGTCGAGCTCAGGACTTTAAAGAATTACAGTGCACATCTGGTATTGAAACCACAGACAAAACCGCGGTTCCGGAAAGCTCGCACTGTTCCCTATGCCCTCCGTGATAACAATGAACAATGATTTATCACGGGATAAAAGCAAGTGCTTGACACGTCCCGTAGGATGGTTGCGGTGAATATGATGAAATCAAAATATGTCTGGGTCATCTATCGAACGTCTGCCGAGATGAATAGTTTGATAATCAACATCAGTGTGAAATTAAAATAAATTATCGAGTGTAAACGTTCAGAAAGACACTGGCGTGCAGTGATCGTTGAGGTAAGGAGGGAGAAAAGTAAAATATGGCCGCTCACTTAGGTCCATTTGATACATAAATCCTGTTGAAATGCATCCTTGGCGTATTCCACAGTAGGGGAGTTTAGGTAAAAAAAATGTTGGGAGCTAAGAGCAACATCTAATCGTTTTTTGAAAACATCCAAGGTAGGAGAGGATACAACTGAGTCTGGGAGTGCGTTCCAGGGTTTGCAAACCCGAAGGGAAAAGTAATTCCATCAACACTCTAGACGGCTGTATTGTTCCTTCAACTTTAAGCCGTTACCCCTGAGCTGCGTGTTGTGGCTAAGTTTCAGCAAATGGCACCATACGTGGTTGGGGTCACCCAGTATCTGATACGCTAACATGAGATCGCCGCGCAGCCTTCGATAGCGCCCGCTGAAAATTCCAAGCAACTTCAGCCTTCGGTGGTAAGAGTGATAGCGCAGGCCCTTTACATTCTTTGTTGCTCTCCGTTGTGGTGCCTCTATCGCTTCTAGGTCGCGCTTCAACCAAGGTTGCCAAGCTTGGATAGCGTATTCAACATGCGGGCGCACGTAGGAATTGTGCATCCTTGGGAAGATTGATGGGTCAAATCTCCCGAATGCTCTTCGCAGCATGCCGACGTGCTGGTTGCCTCTTTTCGCAGCTACATCAGCCTGTTTTGAACAGTTGAGGTCGCTCTGTACGATCGCACCAAAGTAATTTTCCTGGGAGCTATTCTGCAATCCGTTTGTCCCAAGTGAATAGGTGTAGTTATGACTATGGCGTAATTGTATGACGCGACATTTGTCTACATTGAACGGTAGGGCGTTTTGAACTGACCAGTTCGACACTGTGTTAAGATCGCACTGGAGCCGTTCATGGTCTTCCGGTCCTCTGATCCTTCGCAATATATCTTGATATCATCAGCGAAAAATAGGAAATCGGAAGTAATTGATCTCGCCAAATCGTTAATGAACACCAAGAATAGACGAGGTCCAAGAACCGAACCTTGTGGTACTCCGCACGCCACATCGATTGCATGAGAAAATGATTCTCGGACTCTCACCACTAGCCGTCGAACGTGAACTGCGCGGACTCCAGTTGGAAGGTACCGTTGAACCCGTCCAGTATTCAGAAAGGGCAGCCCCATCGTGCCAGTATTGAAAAGCGATGGTACGATAAGAATCTGCGGGTATTACAAGGTTACGATAAACCAAGCGTTAGAATTAGACCGATATCCGCTACCAAAGATTGATGACATTTACGCTTCCCTTTCCTGTGGTGATCTATTTACAAAACTAGATCTGAGTCATGCGTACCAACAAATTGAACTCGATGAGGAATCACGCACCTACACCACCATTAGTACTCATCTCGGATTATTCCGCTATATACGCAAGCCTTTTGGACTAAGCTCGGCTCCATCTATTTTTCAACGTATTATTGACTCACTCGTGAAAGATATACCAAACACATGTGCGTACTTAGATGACATTTTAATTGCTGGACGAACTACCGCCGAGCACTTACATTGGACGTCGTCCTGAAGCGATTATCGGATTCCGGTTTGGTTCTAAAAAGAGAAAAGTGTGAGGTCCTTGTTCCGAGTGTACAGTATCTTGACTATCGGTTGTCACGTGAAGAATTGTGCCCACTGAAAGAAAAGCCAAAGGCGCTACTTGAGGCACCAGCACCCAAAAATGTTCATGATTTGCGGTCGTTTCTCGGTGTTGTCACTCAGTTTTCCAGGTTTATACCATCGGCAGCAACTCATATGCATCCGCTTCACTAGCTGCTACGTGAAAACCAAAGCTGGATTTGGAACACTACTCATGAAAATGCGTTCAAAGCGGTCAAGAAGCTCTTAGCATCTACAGATGTTCTTGTGCATTATGATCCGCAGAAGCCTGTTGTTCTTTCTTGTGACGCCTCACCTTACGGTCTCGGAGCTGTTTTAATGCACAAATTACCGAATGGCTCTCAACGTCCCATTGCTTATGCTTCAAGAACCCTGACACCAGCAGAACGGAACTACTCTCATCTTAAATAAATTAAATTAAATAAATTGTATATGGCTGGACGATGCGAGAAGCCGTTGCCAGAAGGGGCGGATCAAATAATGGTACAGCAGTTTCATATCATGGTATAATAAATTTAAAAAATGTGAGCACAAAATGAAAATTTGTGTAGCGCGAAGCGGTCCAAAATATTTACATTCCTCTTGTTCTATTGTCTGACAAGTTTTTAGCAGTCACATGAGAGTTGAACGCACACGACAAAAAGAGAGAATAAAGTGCTGCGGGCCAACAAAATATAACCACTTGTGCACTTGACCACATGCATTTTTAGGCACCATTTACTCCGTTCTCAAAAGCGTTATCTAAGGACTGTGCTGTTTGAAACATTATTATCACATTTTGAACGGTTAAATGATCTTTTATCGAAAGCTTAAACAAACGCAATGTGCAACAAGTTCTGATAGCTCTTGGAAGTTTGTTCCAAAGCTTTGAGCAGTGTATTAAGAAGAAACGCTCCCTAATTCGCGTATTGAACTTTGGAATCATGACCGTTGTCTCCTTATTTCGTAGCTCGTATCTAGTGTTAACGGACATATGAACACAGTTAGCATAATTGCGCATGTGATGGTGAATTATTCTGTACAGGAAACACAACTTCATCTTCCTTATCCGTAGCCAAAGTGGGTCAAGCACAAGTTTTTCACTGCGCTCTCTGTAGGTCATCTTGGAGGAATATCCGCACAACTTCTTTGTAAAACGTCGCTGTACCCTCTCATGAGCATGCTGGTCAGATTTCCGCAGATTCGACTGTAGTAGTGAGCAGTATTTCATGCCAGGTAACACATATGTTTTGTAAAGCCAGATACGAGATTCTGTGAGTTGAAATTTGTAACAGATATAGCCAATAGTCTTCATGGCTTTCGAAACCTGGAAGTCAAAATGTTCCGAAAAGTTGAAGGTAGTGGAATACCGCACACCCAAGTCACGAATCACTTTGCACTGTGATATAAACGTGCCTTGTAATAATAGACTGCCTGGTGGAACTTCGCATTTGTACGACAGAATATTACACTTGTCCACGGAAAAGGACATCTGCCACAGTTTGCTCCAGGATTCAAGTGCCGATAGATCTTCCTGGATGTGGCACAAGGAGGCGCGGGTATCTGCACGTTCTTGTGAGTAGAGGATTTTAATGTCATCAGCAAACAGAAAAGTAGCATCATGTCTTATTCTATGAAATACATCGTTGACATAGAGGAGAAAAAGAAGTGGACCAAGTACACTTCCCTGAATTACTCCACTGGTGACTGCTTTCGGTTTAGAGACACGGTCGCCAATACGCACCACCTGACGTCTGTCAGCTAGCTATGACGACAACCAAGAAAACATTGGTTCTCCAATACCTATTTCCTTTAGCTTGAGGAGTAGTCTTCGATGCGGCACTCTGTCGAATGGTTTTTGCATGTCTAAGAATAGGACAATAACACTGTTGCCTTTGTCTATGGCAGCCGTTGTGTGGTTTAAGAAGTCTGTCTGGCATGTCGCACAAGATCCGCCCTGAAAAAAGCCGTGTTGTGAATTGTTGATGACGTTTTTCTTATTCAAGAAAATAAGCAATTCATCTTTCACTATCCTTTCCATAATTCTAGATATTACAGGTGTGTGATTGATGGGACGATAGTTTTTAATTTCGTGAACCTTTCCATTCTTATGCCGCGGGATAACAACGGAAGTTTTCCAGTGATTAGGATATACTGCACTGTTAAAAGAGAGCATAAAAATGTTGAGCAATAGAAGAGGCAAGTCGCTCCCACCGTTTTTTTACAAACAAGGTGGAATTCCATCAGGTCCTGGGTAAGTCGAGGAAGACAAGCGGGATACTTGACCGGAGCTTTTTGTAATAGTGTATTCCACTGTGCATAAACTTTCAGCAATGTGTGATGTGACAAGCGCTGGTGTGGCTAGCGGTTCGTCAACTATTGATTCGGCGAAATAGGCGCTGAAAGCCTCACAAATTTCACCCGGAGCATCAAGGTATGTGCCATCCGACATAATGATAAAATTGATGGAATTACTGCGACGCAAACCTCTGGCACGAAACAGTTTGCACAGTTCCGGTGTTTTACTCGGGACATTCAAAGCTTTGTATTCTTCTAATATGAGATTGCGAACATTTAGATGCCCGAGTTCCTCGATGATCTTTGCCTGCTGCAGTATTAGCGCAGTCTGCTGTTAATCTAAATTTCCGCCGGATGTTATGAAGCTTGCGTGTGAAACCTAACACTTTGCGATCGGGCTTTTGTTTTCTTAGGCGGGCACACTTTAGAGGCACTAATGAATCAATGCAAGGACCGATGATATCATAGAACACGTCTGCTGCTTTTTAAGGGCATGGAGAGTTGATGAAATCATCCCAGTTCATCGAACGAACCATATCCTTAAACGTGTTCCAGTTGACGGAGTTGAATAAACGATAGTGC